CCCCCCCCCTGTGTGATTGTCAGGATCTGCTTCTCCTTCCTGCCTTTCCCTCTCACTGGCGTGTGTTGTCTTTTTAGGGCTCAATAGCGATCCAGTTGGAGCTGCATTTGTCCTACTGCAGGGCTCTCCCAGTCTTGGTCCTGGTGACCAACACACCCCAGTCAATCATTTTAACTCTCGAGCTGTTTTCAGCTCCTAAATAAGTAGAAAGCTGCGTTTCTTAATTAACTTTAAAAAGGCCAGCCTTTGAGAAGAAAGAAACGAAACTTGGACCGAGCGAGCCTCTGTTCCAGTTAAAGATGTAAGCAAAGAGCTCAGCTGTAATGAATAGCAGCAGGTGTGTGGGGGTACCCAGGAAAAGATTTGGGGGTCCACTGGTTAAGACTGCATCCTCCATTTCATTTGCCCTTTTGCTACACGACAAAGCAATCTTGGAGCGGTACAATTTCCTGACATTTCAAAACCCACACGGCTGAGGGTCCGCTCTCGCCCGTTAAATATCGCCAAGCTAATGGATCCTAGAATCTCACCAAAACATTAACCAGCACACAGAGGAGCTGAGGAATTTCGTAATTTCACGCTGAAATATAGAACAATTTGTCCCTGAGAGACGTGCTTTGCCAGCCGTGGCTTGGCACTGTGCTGTTTCGTAAGCTGTGAGGGCGAGAGCTGTTGCACTGTGATTGCCCCTGCGGCGACAGAGCTGGTGGTCCTGGTCAGTACCTGGACGGGAGACCTTCTGGGGAAAAACTAAGAACATTTTTTTGCTTTTTTTCGGCTTTCGAGCGTGGAATTAGCTTCTGCCTGTTCCCACACATCCACGTCACGCGAGGACCGTGACTAAACGCAGAGGCTTCGCAGTACCTTTTCCCCCCTTCACGAGCAACTTATTTCACGAAAGCACAGGGCATCTATCTGCAGGGCTTTCATCGCAACTGTTATTCATATTTTACAACAGTTTCAACCATAAACAGCTGTAACCCCAGTTCATCTTCCTCGTTCAGCGCCTCTAACTGTGTAGCTGTATTTTCAAAACGTGTATTTAACATCGAATAATATAAACAAAGAAGAAAAGGTGCCTAGAAAAAGTTATTTTAAAAATTACAAATCTGAACACTTCTTTTCGCGTACAATTGCTTTTTGCCCTTTTCCGTTACGTTTTTAAGTTCAAGTAATATTGCATTTTCATCTTGTGAGTATTAAAGGAGGGAGTAATATCAGACCGTTTTGTTTTGTGTACAAACTAGAAAAAAATCCATGTTACATATGGCAAAGTATAGCAACATATCAATCTCCTTAAATCAAGCATTGACGTTAAAGTGACGCTTAACAACTTTGTAACAGATAAATGCTTCAGTTTCTTTTCCAGCCTCACAGAGCGCACAGAAATAAGAAAACCAAAGACATAAATCGTCTGGTTCAGATTTAAATCTAGAAAGTGTTTAACAGCACAAAGCCCATGAACAATTTTAACACTTCTTTCATTACTCTTATTTCTAAGGCAACTGGCTCTTCGGTTTCCTACACAGGTGTGACACAGGTGTGACGCAGACGGAGCTCAGGCGCAATCATTCCAGAAGCCGCCCAGACTTTGTTTAAATGTATTTTAACGTTTAACGAACGTTTTACAGCAGTTGACTGATACAATGAAACCCTAATGTGTGTACACAGCGCCATAAAACCTTCCAGTTGGCCGAAGCACAATATTTGTACAGGCACTCAAACAAACACCATAACGTCGTATATTAATTTTGTGACACTTCGCTAGCTTCTAACAGATACCAATAATGCCATAAACATGAATGCCAGGCCAGGTTTCTTTTGATCAGATGTATTTATTTATAAAAGTGTCACAACTGGCGAAAAGTTTTTTTTTAAAAAATTAAGGTAAACAACCGCCGTCCGATTTCGCTCAGCTGGCGAGGCTGTAAAATGGCAGAGAAATAAAGAAAACACTTCAAACTCACCAAACACGAGAAGAAAACAGCGCAATAATACATCCGTCTGGGGTGTCAGGCATCCCATCTCCTTTTAAAAGAAAAACAAAGAGTTTCGACCGGAGGAAAACAAGAATTACGAGCTCAGTCTCGGCTGACTGGCCTCCATATTGTTTTCTGTGGTTGTCTTCCTGTCAGACAGGTGTATCAGGAAGACAAAAACGTTTCTCCCTGTGACCCGTACACACAAAAAAAACACCTTAAGTTCGGAGAAGACCAGGAGCTGTTTTTTTTTCTTTGTTTGTTTGTTTGTTTGTTTGTTTGTTTGTTTGTTTGTTTGTTTGTTTAAAACGGAGAAGTTAAAAAAGTTAAAAAACACAATACCGCTTCAGGGGTTCTAATACAAGTAGAAGAAAAGGCCAGAATTAGTTTAACTTTAATTTAAATTAGATATTTAAAGACATCCAGATAATACAAACAGAACTCAAGGATCTGTAACAATTAATAAAACCGGACCTTTGCGTTAAATTAATACAACTTGTAACTGCTGTTGATTGAGAGCCAATATTTCATTTTTTAATCTTTATTGCTTTGGCGTGTTTGGGTTCTTAAAATCGGGATGAATACGACGAGAATCAAGTTATAATTTTGAGATTCAAAAGCTCAGAATAGCAAATGCTAAGGACCTGCTTTCTCTGTGCTGTGCTTTCAGATGTGTTGAGGTTTTGTGTATCGGTGGACAAGGCAGGCCCTGTACTGCTGGTGTGATGCCCAGCTGAAAGGCGATATCCGATATGCCAGCTATGGTATTCATTACGCTCACACAGGTGCAAGTTACACAACTGCTTGTGTTTGCTGCAATAGAATCTTTCAACAATAGATGCAACATAACTGTAGAATGAAAGAGCGAGAATTATATGGTTAAATTTAAATCCAGGTCAAATTAAGACGATGCAAAAAAAAATACATTTTCCATAAAATACCTACAAAGTAGGTTTGATGTAACTAAGTGGTTGTACTTACGTGTCTGTGCCTGATTTGTATTTTAAGTGATTTACCTTCTATAAAAAAAAAAATCTGGCTCGCCCTTGCACCCCCAGAAATGGTATCTCGCTCTCATAGTGGGTGCACGCCAAGTTAAGAATCTCTGTCCTGCACGAAACTGATTTAAATGCAGATTTAAACACCCAATAATCTGGAATACAGAGCATTAAAAAACAGGAACCATTGCCAATGTTATAGTTGCATTATAGAAGATGCTGAAATCTCTAATTTACAACATTTCTGTCATTTGCAGTGTATTTTTCATGCGTTTTAAAAACATTGAATAGTTGTTTCCACCCCTGTCGTTTTGTCTGAAAGAAACACTTAATGAAACAGTAATAACATTGCTTCCAGTTTGTATCAACACGGTTTGTTATGGGGAAACACTGAATGTTGTGTTTATATGCAGTAGCCTGCCTAAAGCAGATAGCTTTTACTGTAGCAGATTCAGGCAATGTTTTGTATACACTTAAATGTTTTTTTTTTTCCCTTGAACTAGACGGCAAAATTGAGGATTAGAGGTTCTCTTCTCCTTTTATTTTGATTAAAAAATGTGAAGAAGTTAATTTTTTTCCGAAAACAGAAGTACATCGCTTCGTTGACGGTAATTTTGCCAAAGATACATTGGAAAACACCGGCGGTTACGATTGTAAAGGAAGCTTTCCCCCTTTGTGCTGTGTCCCTCGGAGCCTCTTGTGAACTGTGGGAGTGTTACCTTGATTAACACAGAATAAAAAATAAAAAAACAACACTCAGTCCTAATGGATTTAATCAAACATTTTAAATATAGATACATGGACACTATCACCTTGTAGATTGTAGATTCAGCCTTGAATAGTGTATGTAGAGATACTTTACATATGTTATAGAATTGCCCATCCTGTCCAGTAGCTACAGCTCAAGATGTAGTCCACCCTATAAGTCCTATAATAATAATTAATAATAATTGCTTACACTTATATAGCGCTTTTCTGGACACTCCTCTCAAAGCGCTTTACAGGTAATGGGGATCCCCTCCACCACCACCAATGTGCAACATCCTTGAAGTAATAGCAGACCAGGCTTTTCTTCAGGGAGCTGTGATGTGGCAAAGATGGCTAGTGCAACTGACAACACAAGAGGCATAATTGTTGGTGCATCACCACAGGCAACAGCATCCCTGGCTCATGTGTCAATTCAGACAGTCCCACCAAATGTTTCAGAACCTGAACCAAAAAACCCATAGGAATAATTGCGCTTGTTGAAATTTCAATGTCCCCCATCACGTCAGGATTCTGGCCTCGAAAGCCCTTCATAAAGAAACATTTTGAAAAGAATGCTCAAAAACATTGAAGCATTTACAGACAAGTTGTAGCTCTCCTGGAAGTGGTGACTAATCAGGGTACAACTGAGCCTTGTTTAAAAAATATCCATACACCAGAACAAGAAGTCAGGCTTGTGGGATAGTACCCTTTGATCGGGTGTGTGCAGAGATTTGCTTAGTATTTTCAATCTCTGGTGCTCAATGATTTACAGACAATGTTGCTTGGTGGACTTGTACCCCTGTAATGCCGAGTCCTTCAGTGTACCAAACAGGGATCTTCAGACACATACGCTGATGTAGAGAATGCATTTTAGAAACACACTGCAAAAACACAAAAACATTTGTTTGTTATTTATAGATCTCCCTGCTTTTTTGTAAAGATTGCATTGTACCAGCATGACTATTTAAAAAAACAGCTCAAAAGTTACAATCCCTCCCTCCCAAGAAGAAAAGTCACGCTTTGTCATCCCAGTTTCATTTATGTTTTATTTTCTAAAAAAGAAAATACATCCGAGCACAATTATATACAAAAAGGCGGAACTCTGTATTCGAAAGAGAATGGCCCTGTGCTGTTCTGAAGAGGTTAGCAAACGACATCAGGACTGATCTTAAAAGAATCCACATTTCAATTTTGGAGAACAGCGAAAAGCTGAAAGGTTCTTAGACCACGGGAATCTCGAGTAAGGGCTTTATTTTAAATACAGTAGGTTTAAACCATGAAACAATCATTTTAGCCTTTTGTCTGTGTCCAGATACATAACCTAATTGAGCCAGAGACAGCCATTGTTCTAAAGATAAATGGACACAGTATTTGAACCTTTGCTCTCTGGCCACTGTGTAACTATCCCTCATGTTATCAGAGCTGCTAGGTTTCTGCCCATGTTAAACCAAAGCAATTGTTTTTTATATAGCTGGGTGTTTTACTGAAGCTCATGGGTACAACAGCTGTGTCTCACCTGGGATTTGAACCCGCAACCCCCCCACCACCACATACAGTGAGTCCAGAAGCCCCTGACCACAGCCATGCTCTTTAAAAGCTAGACTTGTGTTTGCCAATTCATGTCCGCCCCCGAGTGAATCAGCAGCTCACGTTGGCGAAACGAGGTCATGTGGACCTCGTTTATCAGTAGCTGAATGAAACCTGATAAGTGCTTCACTCACTGTAAAGGAGGGTGTAGCCCTGCGCTGCACATTGTTGTGCAAATTCAAACTCTTTGTCTGGGGACCGGCCTCCAGTATGTCACCAAACAAAAAGCAGGGAAAACAAAAAAGAGGAAGGCTGAATTAATCACTCGCATGAAGAAAGGGTGTTGGTTTCTCTGTACTCCGGAACTGCAGGGCTAGACTTTCAACTCAAAGCCTACCCCCCACCCCCAGAGAGTGAAAAGAGCTTTAAAGACTGGTTGGGTAAGACAAAATCAGTAAACTGGCATCTCTAGCTCAGATCTCCAGTCCGCAATTCAGCAGGTCACCTTTAAATCACCAGTTTCTAAAGAACAATACCAATCATACTAGTGAGTTGATCAATTCAGCCCTTCAGAGATCATTAGGACTTTCATCTAAATCCCATTCCGGCCTCAGGGACCAAATGTCTCTCAACCCAACAGAAGAGATTGAACAGGTTCGGCACCATCTTACCTGGAAGACTATCCCGGAGGAGGTCTCGGATCAGCGCCAGAGAGGAGCAGGGGTTATCAACCCAGGGAGACGACAGCAGATATGAGAGAGCAGCTTGAAAAGGTTTCCCAAGGGTTTACCAAGAGATCCCTGGGAATTAAATGCCAGGGAACTCTGTCTGGAACTAAAGTGGCTTGCAAAAATATCATTGCAGATATGACCATTAGCAGCACTGTTGCAATGCATTTAAAACCAAGAGGGGGAGGGTACTTCTTTACACAAAGAGTAGTGGGGGTATGGAACAACCATGCTTTTTCTGGGATGATATCCTTAGATCAATGAACTAGAAATTACCCAGAAGGACAGATTTGTTTGCAACTCTTCCGTTGTGCATGTTGATTTCTCTTTTGTTTTAAAATCCCCCCACTGTCTGCTTATTTTCAGAAGGGAGAAGGTGAGATATGCCTTCCCTTGTGGTGCAAAGTGCAGTTGAAACAGACTATTGCAACAAGAAAAAATACATTCCTCGAGTATATAATAATAAATTGTACATAATTTTTTTAAAAAATAAAAAAACAACTATATACATATCCATTTCCGGAAGCAAACGAAAGTCGTATTGGGCCACAAACCCCGAACGTAAAATAAGAGGGGTTTAAAACTAACTGGGCGATCAGATCACCAGTTAAAATCTGCTGGCTCTTTTAAAAAAAAACACAATACTAAAAGTTTTTCAAAAAACGAAAAGCCGGTGCTGAAAAACTTTGCGATCAGCGGCTTTCCAGGATAGCGAGTGGGTCAGGAATGAGCCTGACCCCATCACAAGACTCCTTCCTCTTTCCCCTCCGCCTCCGTCCCCCGCTCCCGGCGCCGGTTCCGCCAGAACTTGAAAAAGATGGTGAGGACGAGGATGAGCAGCAGCAGCCCAGTGGCGCCCCCGATGGCCGCCGCCAGGATGGCGATCTCGGAGTGGGAGGCTGCGGCGGAGAGACAAACGAGCGTCTTTTAAAACTTCCGCGTCAGAAGAACGCGCGTTGTCGAGGTTCATCCGAAATGTCCCGACCCAAACCTGAAAGGCTTGACGAACAGAGCTATACAGCCAATGCTGTTGATTCCATTGTTATTCTGTCCTGATTACTCAGCGGGACGTCTCATAAACCCATAGGAACAAGCAAAGGATTTATTCCACGCTGAAAAGAGAAGAAAAGAAACACAACGTTTCGGCTGTGGAGCCTTCTTCGGGTGTGAAACCCTCTTCTCTATTCAGTATGGAACAAACCTTTACTTGTTCCTTTGCAGCCTAGGCAAGCTACCCCCTAGAATATATTATGAATATATAGGAAACATACCGTGTATCTAATACAGCTGTGAGAAAAAGTGTGTGAACCCTTAGGAATTAAGTGGATGTCTGCATGAATGGCTCCTAAAAAGTGATTTGTTCAATAAAGACATGATCATGTAAAATGTTGTGTGTGCTGTTTGTTAAATATAACTGTCTTTATTTATTATTATGACTCAGATGAAGATCAGATCACATTTTAGGAGCCATACATGCAGAAATCCAGATAATTCCTAAAGGTTCACAAACTTTTTTTCTCACAACTGTACACAACATATAAATATAAAGTAGATCACAAATACATTATAAACCCATAAAGCTGAATTTGATTTTGGTTATCAGTAGTCCCATGTAATGTGTTTTTCCTGCAAAGACCACTTTGTTCTGCGTGAGCGTTAATGAGTGTGATGACTGATGGTCGCTAGTGCCACTGATTGCTGGGAAAATTCAGCTGATGTTGCACAAAGTTAAGGGTGTGTGCGTGTGATGTGGAGGGTTACTAGGTCACAGGCTTTTTTTCTAAGTCCGCGCAGTTTTACAATCCAGGGAGCAGTCAGATCGTCTTAGTGATTACAGCCGGACCCCAAACATATTGTTAACCTTTCCTAAATGGATACGTGTCAGTATTGCAATAACATTACAATAACTGCCTGCTCTGGAATCAGCCCAACGAGACACATTCCTGGGCTAAAGAGCAGATTCTAATCTGATGTGCTGGAGGAACTTAATCCTTCTAGTCTTTGACAGAGAAGATTTTTGGGGGAAGGGGTCCTGAAAGAAGTGTTAAAAATCACTGTAACTGACTGGGTCAATCCAGCGGGATCCACAGTATATGAACAGGAAGTGCAGACTACGTGAAATGTGCATTAGAATCTTAGAATGGGGGTGGGGTGGGGCAGTTCTTTACAAAAAGGGTGGCGGGAGCATGGAACGAGCTTCACAGCCATGCCCCGGCTTTCTTCCAAGAAATGCTGGAGGGCGTCCTGGGATGCAAATGGCATCCATGTTTGTTATATTTTGTGTGTGTGTGTGTGTGTGTGTGTGTGTGGGGGGGGTCAAAGAATTAAAAATGAAGTCAAATAATCAAAGACAAATCACGTGAAGACACTGCACTGCAACGCCACCTCACACCGGTTAAACTCAAGCGATTCAGTGCCGATTTCTTTCAGTTTCTAGACCACTTAAAAAACCCGTTCTGTCTCCAGATTGTGGCAAGATTCCAGGGCAACGTGAGCAAGCTCGAACAGGTCTGGAATGTTTTTAAACTCATTCTTGTCCTTTTAGCAAGACAACCAAAATCCTGACTCTGTCACCCCCCGGCAGCCAACGCCCAGTCTAATTGCGAAAGGCTGGTGCCTTAACTCCACTGGCCTCGGCCGTAGCTGTGTCCTGCCCAGGCGGAAAGCTGTTTCAGACCTCTGGCTGGATGCATGGTGCTCAGGAATGTCAGACAGCTGCTGCCAACAGAAATATTGCTTTTTTTGCAGCTCTTGGAAAAGAAAGGCTGACTCCCGCCTGGCAGCCCTGTACACAGGGCGGCATGCAAACACTGCGGAACCAGTGTGGAAGTGTGTTTGAAACTGAGAGCAGGAGGCACGTCTTTACACAAAGGGTGGTGGGAGTAGGGAACAAGCTGGCCAGCTATGCTGGTGAAGACGATGCACTGGCTTCCGTCCGGAAGCGGCTGGTCGCGACCCTTGAATCGATAAGTTACGAAATGCCTAGATGAGTTGGAAAGGTTACAAATGAGAGGATTTCACTGGCTGACAAGGAGTATAGCCAGTAGTTATATCACCCTGCAGCTCACAGCTGGCAGCCCCACTGGAGCTCAACGGGTATGAGCCTGGCCAGTACCTGGATGGGAAACTCCTGGGAAAGCTAAGGCTGCTGCTGGAATTGGGGCTAGTAGGGGGCACTAACTACTGTATGTCTGCATGGGTCCTAATGCCCCAGTATAGTGACGGGGACACTATACTGTAAAAAGGCGCCATCCTTCAAATGAGATGTAAAACCAAGGCCCTGGTTCTCCGTGGTCATTAAAAATCCCAGGACGTTTCTCCAACGTGTAACTGGCCAAGTTTCCCCCTGGTGTTTACCCATCATGGCCATCATGGCCTACTTATAATCCCCATCTCTGAACTGGCTTCATCACTCTGCTCTCCTCCCCACTGAGAGCTGGTGTGTGCGGAGAGTACTGGAGCATCATCCAGGCGGGGGCTGCACATTGGTGGCGACAGTGGGATACCTCATTACGTGTAAAGAGCTTTGAGTGGCGTGTCCAGAAAAGTGATACATTAGTGTAAGGATGATGATGATGATGATGATGATTATTAAACCCGGCTCTCACATTACAGTCTGGTGCTGAGGGTCCACGGTGTGCCCCACACGTGACTGTAGGACACTTAGCCCTGGACCTGGGCTGCACTGACCTGTGGTCACCACCCGGAAGCGGATCTCCCCGCTGACGCCATGCACGTCCGGCGGGTTCTTCACCTGGCAGACGAAGGTGCCGTTGTCCCGGAACTGCACGTCACGCACCATGATGGAGCCGTCGTAGCGGTTGAGGTTCCCGGCCCACACCGCGCGGCCCCTGAACCTGCCCTCCGAGGGGGGGTACTGCCCGTCCTGGTAGAAGAAAACCTGGAGAGCGGGCCGGCGGGCCAGAGAGGCGGATCAGGAGTCGGCGTTTCTGGGAAAGACCCCCGCTGCGGGGCGGGCTGATCCGTTCCGGGGTTTACGAGCGGCAGGCGCAGGCGGCTCAGCTCTTGCCTCCGTCTGCTCACGCCTGTCCCACCCGGGCCCTGGGAGAGCCCTCCGCTGCCTGGTTTTGGGTGTCACCCTGAGCTCGTCTTAACTAATACGTGTGAAAATTTCCAATTTGGAACATATTTATGATTTGTGAAAGGCTTATTTGCTCATAGGGAGACCAATCAAGCACTTAAAGTGTAATTTAAGCGCTTGTGCTATTGAGATTTTATTCCTAACATAAATAAGTGGAGCCTTCTACAACAGCCAACTGAAAGTAGCATATGTGCTGTTATCGGTCCCGAAACATAGCGCCTTTAAGGGGATATGTGACTTAGCCCCCCTACAACGGCAACAAGAGTCATGCGGCAATATATCTCAGGAAGAAGAGCACCTCAGGTGCTACTTTCAATGGCAAAAACCAGAACAGACCGGGTACTAACAGATGAGACTGGTTTGGTTCGGTTCGGTTCGGTTCGGTTCTCCTGTGCCGTTCTGGGGGAGGGGAGAGGAGGGGGAGTGATGACAAAAAAACAAGGCGCTATATCTTGGGAATCAATGCAGCACAAACAAATGTGGTTCCTTGTTTCCTTGTTCAGTGTGCAGGGATGCTGGCTGCACAGCAAAGCTCTGCAGGTTTAAATCCAGCAGCTCTATTTTTGGGAAAAGTTTGCATCAAGTAAAGTTGGTCACCCTGGGAAGCGGAGGTGGGTGCACTGCTCAAGCAGGATGCTGACCGCCAGGCTTACCGACTCCTCTGCGCCCCCGCCCAGGGGCCTGAAGTGCCAGGAGACGGAGGCACTGGACTCCTTTAAGGGCGACGAGGATTGGAAGGTGCACTTGAGCTTGGCGTCGGTCCCGTTGACGGATTCCACTTCCTCGGGCGTGTACACTTCCATGGCTGAGACGCGCAGCACCCCTGGGTAGAGAGGACAGGCGGGTTTACCCACTCCCCCATTGTGACATCACACACCCGATGACATCACAAGATTTCAGAGCCACAGCCGGTGACGTCACGGTGAGAGGTCAGGGCCTCAGCCGATGACATCACAGTGACAGATCAAAACCACATCCAATGACATCACAGTGACAGAACTTTAAGCCATGATCTGACTGGTTGGAGCCCAGAAGACAATGGTGACCAGCTCTATCAGAGCTATAGTCCCTGCAGACTGCGTCTGTCTGAATGTTGCATTGACTGCCCACGTGTCAGACGGTCTACTACCTCTGTACCCAACAGACAGACCGAACTCTCACTTTAGCTTATTATATTTCATAGCCAAGGTCTTCTTTCCAGCTCCAGTCTAGTGAATAATGTGTGGCTGCAGAGACCATTGAGTACAGTAGTTGAGGGTCAATTTGTAGTACCAACAGTATAGCTGAAGTCACACAGGTCAATGGTATGGAACTCCTATTGTTGTGTGCTCCTGCTCTACACCTCTGGCCAGTCATGTGGTCATCAGGCTCTTACAGCAGCTAGTTCTGACCCCAGCATCCTTGACTGCACACGTCCATATGACGAAAATAATACACTATTAAAAAATAAGCATAAAAATGTTCTGTAGCAATGTTTCTGGCCTGCCAGTCAGCATCCACGACTCACTTTCCAAATCCCAGGACAGCACAATCTGTTGCACAACGAAAAGAGTTTCACGGGCTCAATTAAAAAAAATGACGTGCCAGGATTTCGCAACGTTAATCCCAGGCAGTCCAGATAAGGAATGACTAAATTCCACTCTGGAAAGTGTGTCAGAGTGGAGACGGGAACAGCCCGGCAATTCCGATTTTAAAAGAGGGGGACATAGCCCTGGACTGCTTCCCGCCAAAGTCCAGAGGGGTTGGATCCATCGGGAGAGCCCCAAACTGCACTGCCTGTCAGAGCATGGAGCACATCATCAGACCAGCCCTCCCCTAACAGCGGACACAACTGGGGCTGAAGGGGATTTCCAGAAGAAACGAAAGATAGGTCACTGCACGACTTCGAAATTGCCCATTATTTGGGGTTTGAAGTGCCCCCTTCCCACCCTCAGACTCCAGAGTGCTTGATGGCGTCTCTCCGATTTGAAAGGGGTATCCTGTTTCAGCTCTGTGGACATCCTCCAGCAAAGGGCTGGGAATTTGCAAGCGTGAACACAACCTGGGTCCGTCCATTTTCCAAGAGCTTTACCCAGGACAGGGTCACAGACACGGCCTATTCTGGTAAGAAACGGGCGGCAAGGCAGGGTACACCCTGGGTGAGACGCCAATCGATCACAGGCCCACAAAACCCTATTTATCCCATAATGCAGCTGGTGGCCTGATTGTCACGGCAACAGAACAAGTTTTAACAAGCATTTCCTGCTCTGGGACAGCATTTCTCTTTTCTCCAAACCCTTGATGGGGTCTTCATTTCACTTCAAAACCTCCGACTTCCTTTTGCCTTGATACAGGATACAGTTCCCTAGAAACCTGTATCCCGAGAATACAATTCCCCAGAGCAGTGGCTAACTCACATCGTCAGGTTGCCATTTGTATCCCAGAATTATTAAAACAATATCTAACAGAGTTCTGTTTGGCTGTATGGATTGGATGTTTGGAACCTGGGAAGTCTCTCGCAATGGTATAAAAAAAGACATTGCATTTCCCAGTTCAAAAATATTACTGCAGTGTTACATTTTGTCGCTGAGGTTTAATCAACAAAAAGACCAGCAGAACTACTGACATCTGCTTCCCTTCAAGCTTTCAGGATTGATTTGGAAATGAAACCACCTGTCCATCCACACACCTTTGAAATACAAGTTTCTCGAAAAGAGTAGGGAGCTCAGCACTGTAAAAGGGCACCATCCTTCGGATGAGACATAAAACCGAGGTCCTGACTCTCTGTGGTCATTAAAAACCCCAGGGTGTTTCTCAAAAAGAGTAGGGGTGTTACCCTGGTATCCTGGCCAAATTTCCCCCTGGCCTTTACCCATCATGGCCTCCTAATAACCCCCACCTCTATATTATAATAATAATAACAATAATAATAATAATAATAACA